ACAGTAATTAAAAAAAAAAGAATTCAAAACTTGCGTACGTACTTTATGGATTCCCCCAAAATGTTATTAATTACTCATAAGTTTGCTGAACATTAAAGACTATAAACACTAATAAGACTAAATGACACATTTAGAGAATTAAAATTTGTTTAAAAACTTTTTCAAATTTTTTTCTTTAATAACTGCTGTTTTTGCGAACTCTGCTAATATTATTATTTTTATAGTACCATTTTATTTTTACACATTTATTTAAATAAAAGATGGATATATATATATTTAATGTTTTTTTATTTGAAAATGTATTTAATACGAAAAAAAGTTTTACTTAAATTTTTTATATGTAATCTTTTTTAGGTAGTTTTTATTATTTTTCTTATTTATAACCTTTAAATAAAGTTCAAAAAAAAAGTTTTTAACTTAGTTTTGTAGGCTTTTTGTCGATTCGTTTTTGATTTTTTGATTTTTATATTTTTTACATCAGATTTTTTACTTTTTATTTTGTAAATTTATTTTAAATGAATAAATTAAAACTTTTTAATACCTGTTGTAATGTTTAACACTTGTTATTATATGCCGTTCAATTTCATAGATTGCAGGATGCTAACCAATTAGTTAGCATTCTGATGGGCCGTATCTACAATTTAACAGTATTTTTTTATTTTATTAAGAAATATAATTTTATGATTTATATAACTAATAATTAATATTAAAATTTTTCTAAATGGACTAATATCGGTGTTTAACATACATCATTTTTATTAAAGTTTTTATTTTTATTAATCTTTAAATGTTAAAGAGTATAAGTTTTTGATCAAAGTGTAAAAACTGAAATTTGTTTTTTTTTATATCGAATATTTTTCTGTAATTTACTTTCCTAGATAGAGAAATTTGATACTCTACGTTTTCCTTGGAAATCTACATTGTGGAAGGGAATAATATTTTTATGCCAAAACTATGTTTGTGGTTTTGTTATTATATTTAAATTATATATAGGAAAGTGGGGATAAAATTTAAAATTGTTACAATCAAAAGTGTGTAATGGTACACACTTTTGATTGTAACAATTTTTTATTACGCATCTTTTTTTAGTCGATTGTTTTACAGGGTTTTGCAAAGTTGTAAGTGCATGTTTGCAAAGTTATAAGTGCACGGTTGCAAAGTTATAAGTGCGCGCTTGCTAAGTTTTAAGTGCATATACATTTTTTGGAAATTATTTTTTAAGCTTTAATAATATTGCGCAAAATATTAAATTAAATTACAGCATAGCAATCAATATAATTCTTCAATAAATTCTTAACATTTTTACTTAATTTAGCATATTGTTATATATCAATAACTTTTCTAGATTAAATACTTTCATAATTTTTAAAAAATAGTATACATTATTTAATCATAATATTTTAAAAAGGCATGCAAAAATATACATTATTAAAAAAAATAAATCATTTTAAATATTTTAATTAGATAAATTCTTCTCTTCTTATCGCCTTTTCCAACCATCTTCTCATATTTATATAAAAGGCATTGCACTGTTGAGTATAATTATTATCAGGTGATAAAATATATTCTAGAGTTTCTTCAACAGCATATCGGGATTAGCATTTCTCGTGAATTTGAAATTGGATTTTTAACATTGAAAAGAACTCTTTGATTGGGTTCAATTCAGGGGAGTATGGTACTTAAAACTAGTGAGTAATATATTTTTCTCTTAGTAATTGAAGTACTGCAGCTGTTTCGTGAAATTTTGCATTATCTAGGATAAGAATTTTATTTGGATTTACTGCAAAGAATGGTACTAGTTTGTTGTTGATGAAATCAATAAATGATTGTGTATTGTATGCGCCGCTTTTGTATTGGTAACGTTCAACTCCTAAATTGGAAATTAAGCACATGAGGCTAACATTTTGTCCTTTATTTGCAGGAACTGTCAAGTACGCTTTTGTATCTTTTGGAGAATAGCCATATGAGCGCACTGTATGTTTATTGAATCCGGTTTCGTCTAAAAAAACCAAATTTGAATCAGCAATTCTAGCAACTTCTGCCGCAAAAATTGATCTCTGATTTATTCTTTCCATGGTGTTTCTTTCTTGAGGAATGATTGCTAATCTTTTTCGTGTCAAATTTAATTTCTTTAATTTACGAGAAACAAACGAGATTGAAACGTTTTTACCTTGTTGTTCTAAAATTTGCGTTTGAATTTCTTTTTGAACTACGGGATTGTTACAGACCACGAAATTAAATATTGTCTGTTCAATGTTTGTATTCATAGAATTTTTGATTTTATACGTTTCTTTTCTTTTTACTGTAGATGACGTGAAGGGTATATTATTATCACTGTTTTTTATAACACCACTAACAGCGATTCGAGTTAAATTACAAGCGTTGGATATTTCCTTGATTGAATATTTTTTACAATTTCTCATTGAAATAATCGTATTTTTAGTTTCTTCTGTAATTGTTTTCCGTACTTTTCTTTCCATTGATATTTAAAATATAAGTGTTAAAATTAATTTTATAAATGCACTTATAACTTTGCAAACGTGCACTTATAACTTTGCAAACATGCACTTATAACTTTGCAAAACCCTATAATTTGTAGAATAATTTATACCCTATATAAATATATAAATTAAATTTAAGATTTACCAAAATATAACAGGCTAAACTTGTATCATTGTGTCTCACTCTTCCCTAAACAAACGCGATCGCGTAATTCTGTGTGTCAAACGTGCACGCTAGCACACATAAAACTCTTTTAATATGCCCAAAAAAAAAAATTAAAATAATAAATGATTTTTACGTTTTAAAATACTAACATATTAAACTATTAACTTTCTTATGATTTGCAAATAGTTATTTATCTTATGGCAATATTGTTTGGGGTAGTACAAATAAATCTAAACTCGACTGCCTCCTTAAACAACAGAATCATGCAGCACGCATTATTAATTTTCAAAATCGCTTCACAATTGCTAAACCTCTTCTAAAAAGCATGAGGGCACTTGATATTTATGAGTTAAATATTTTCAAAATTACACAATTTATGTTTCAGCATCAGTCAAAAAAAACGCCGAAGATTTTCGAAAATATTTTCCATAAAACATTAAACCGATACAGCACGCGATCTACCGGAAGATTTAAAAAACCTTTCCGTTCATCAAAACTTACAAGCTTTGCCATTTCCTATCGTGGCCCAATGCTATGGAACCATTTTACAAGTCTGAGTGGTAAACTTAAAGAAGCCAATACCTCTCAAAAATTTAAAAAGAACATAATCGAACTTATTGCCAATCACGATTCTTTACATGATTTTTTCTAACAATACACGATTATTTCCAATTTTTATTATCAAAGGTTACTGATGAAAAGACTTTATCTTCTTCAGGTTCTCCGGTCTTGTAACTATTATAAATAATAAAATGTACTTGTACTTAATATTTACGGAAATTATCTTTAATTGTTAATGGTTGCTTGACAAAAATTGAAAAAAAAAAAAAAAAAAAATGTTTTCATATTTCTTATGATCTGCAATGCTTTTATATTTCTTATGATTTGCAATGCTTTCATATTTCTTATGATTTGCAAAAAAAGGGTTAAAAAATTCTAGCAAATGTTATTTAACAATGGGTTCTTTTGAAAATAGATTAATAATTAGTTTAATCAAAAATGACCGTGGAACTTTTTATTTGCAAGTACATATGTTCATTTGAATCGCTTTTTGTTAAAAGAGCAAGTCAAGTATTATAGTAAAATAAGTTCGATATGGTTTTTTATTGTTTGAAGATAGACGCAGTGATTTGTGTTTGTAGGAAGTTTCTAACTTTATCCTTAATGACACAATAAATTTTTATTTGACTAATGAACTTTTTTTAATGAATTATAAGTTATTAGTGTATTAAAAATTGTTTGAAATAGAAGAGTTAACAAGTGGAAATCCTCGGAAAAGAAATGGTCGTACCGTTACGACCATTTCTTTTCCGAGGATTTAAGTATAAGCTATGAGTATGTGATTATGAGTGGTTGTAAGTATAAGTTATGAGTATGTCAATTAAACTAACTTTGTAGCAATACTCTAAGTGTTAGTTTGTTGTTTGTAATTAGATTTTTTTTATATTTTCATTGTTAATTTTCTGTTTAAGTTTTCATTTTGCTATTTATGATGGTAGAGTTGAAAAAAGTAAACAAGGAATAACAAGGCAGAATTTACACTATTTCTTATTGGAAACAAGATGGAACTAATATTGAACTGTCAAAAGATTAAAAATTCTAGCTAGTTGCTGTTGTTATATCAGGGAACTTTAAATTTTTATAATTGGAATATGAAATTAATGTAAAAATGCTCACAGTATAGCAAGTTTTGTAACCAGCAAAATAACTGCCACAAGTTTTATGGGTTGCAAATAGGTTTTGCAAGTTTTGTGGCTTGAAAACAAGTACAACAAGTTTTTTGACTAGCAAATAAGTACCACAAGTTTTGTTGCTTGCATATAAGGTACAGCAAGTTTAGTGGCTTGCAAAGAGGTACCACAAGTTTTGTGGCTTGCAAATATAGTACAGCAAGTTTTGTAGCTTACAAATAGGTATTGGAAGTTTTGTGGCTTGCAAATAGGTACTGCAAGTTTTGTGACTTGAAAAATAAGTATCGCAAGTTTTGTTGCTTGCAAATAAGGTACAGTAAGTTTTATGGCTTGCAAGTAGGTACCGCAAGTTTTGTGTCTTGCAAATTGATAAAATAGAGTAAAATAGAGTGTTTAGATGTTGGGCTCATTGTGGGTCATTATTATTGCTCTTGGTATGATTATATGTAATATAAATATCAAAGTTATTTTACTTCTATTCATATCACTATTACTTATTGTTATTGTTTAATATTAAATTTAATACTTATCAATATTATTGTTACTATTGTTATTGTTATTATTATATTAATATAAAAATAATTGTTAACATTACTTACCTCGTTATGATTGTTTTAATATTGCTATTATTATACAGTTGGTATTTACTTAAGATTAGTATTAGTACTATTTCTAAATATCCATGTTTATGTTGCATACATACACATATATGACATATGTGTGTGTGTTTTTTTTAAGCATTTGCAAGTTTTCAAATACATGCAAAGTAAAGTAAGTAAAGAAAACAATACTTTTCAATTATTAAATTTAGTATTATTAATTAATTTTAATTTTTTACATTTTTTATCCTTATTTTTATAACATGATCAATTAAAATGCACTAGAACTTTGTTCTGGTGCATTTTAATTGAACTAAGAATTTTAATTTATTAACCTTTTATTAGAATTTTAATTTATTAACCTAGGTAAATAAATTTCCAATTAAGAGTGTTGATAGAGTTGCAGCATTTTTAAAGAAATATCAATGTGTCCCTAATGTGCTATTGGTAAAAAAAAATTTTTTTCATTTGTGATTTTATATATTTATTGGAAAAAATGAAATAATGTTTGAAAATCATCCTTTTTTAAATAAGAAGGTATTTTCAAAACTACTATGTCCTCTAATGGGTTATTCTATAAGTTTTCTCTGCTTTTTAAAGTTGTATTCTTTTTTTATTATTATTATTTAGTTCAGACTGTTGGCGACATGACACATGTATTAAAGTCTTCTGTCACAGTTGACTCAGCAAGAATGAAGACATTGATACACTTTTGCATTGCATACACAACACTCAAAATTAGTAAAACTAAAATGAGTTATAAATTGTCGACATTTTAAGATATGAAAAGATATTATTGTTAAATTTTGAGTTTGTAAAATTTATTTTCAGGTATAAGAAATCCTTATCTGTACGTAACAGACGATGGAGACGAAGTGATTATTATGTGTGGCAAAAAATTATTTTATGAAGTTTTTCATTTTCTGACTTCGTGATGGAACTTATTGGAGTACACTTTTTTTGGACGTAGGAGGAGTATTGCCGCTGCAAGCTGCATGAACAATAATAAAACATTCCAAAGAATAATTTGTTATTTCAACGATTAGATTTGTTGTTTAAATGTATAAATGCTTGTTGAATATTCTTATTATATATCATCCTAATTTCAAAATAATGTTTCATTTTTTCCATAGAAAAAGTACTTTTGTAATATTGTTTTATAGTTCAGGGGAAATATTATTGAAAAAAAAATAGAATCTTATTTTAAATAAAAATAACATTGAAACAAGTAAAAAATGATTTTCTTTAAGGAATATAAGTTCTTGAAACAAGAAAAAAATACATAATTTTAAGAATGTAAGTTCTTAAAACAAGAAAAAAAGTTCTTATATTAAGAAAAAAAATTCTTAAAACAAGAAAAAAATTCTTATATTAAGAATAAAAGTTCTTAAAACAAGAAAAGAAATTCTTATATTAAGAAAAAAAATTCTCAAAACAAGTAAAAAAATTCTTAAAACAAGAAAAAAAATTCTTATATTAAGAAAAAAAATTCTTAAAACAAGAAAAAAAATTCTTATATTAAGAATAAAAATTCCTGTTTTAAGAATAAAAATTCTTGAAACAAGAAAAAATATTCTTACGTGGCGGACAAGTCATTTTTTTCTTGTTTTAAGACTTTTTGCTTAAAACAAGAATCTTGGATTTTGCTGTGCAGTCATTTTGCTTGCATAAAATATAGAAAAATCATTGTAAAAGAGTGGATTTGTAAAAACAATTTAAAAACTTTGAATTCCTAATAGAAAATCTATCACAAGATGCGCCTGTTTGTTCTTTTTGAATGTTTCTAACTAGGTCAATATTTCGAACAATGCAGTTGATTTAGTGTAAACAGTGTCTCAATTAAATGATTACTGGAACATATGTTAAACTTTGAAAATTTATAAAGAAAAAAATTTAAAAAAATCTCTAATAATAGTAATAAATGAATAAAATTCTAAAACAAGGTCTGTTTAACAAAGTTTCACATTGAAAAAGTACACCAAAAAAACAAGTACCCTCTACCACCCTTTTTTTCTGAAGGACCTTTTTTTTTTTAAAGATTATTCTTGATAAAGAATAATCTTTTTTTAAAAGTTGACGATTGTGTCCCCCCACATCAAAACCCGTGTCGTCGGCCCTGAATTTGAAATAAACATCAGTAACTTTTGATTAATTTTTATGTAAACTGCAAAGAGTTGCTCATGCTTGAACTATTGGTATCATTCTTTACAATACCTTTATTCACATAGCGGAAGTAATAGAAAGTCTATAATTACTTATAGTGAAAAAGCTCAAGAAGCTAGAAATAAAGAATTTAAAATATTTAGGGAACATCATTTCTGTAAAAATTTATTTTCAAAATTTTCTAATTCAAGGAGTAAACAGATATTCTTGTTATTGAGTATAAAACATGCATAAAAAAACCATAAAACCAATCGCTTTTTTTGATGCAAAAATCGAAACATTAGTTTCGAAAAGTCGTGACGTAGCCTCCGTTAATCTAATTCAGACCCCCGCACTGTGAGGCAGATTAAAAATGGCAAAAGGTTTCAGACTTAAAATGTCAAAATAAATTTTTTAGTAAAAAATCGTAACATAAAAGATGGTTAATATAATAGTTGATCATTATCACTCAATTCTGGATTATTTTCGCTATTAGCAATTTTTCAGTTGTTGGCCAACTCCTGATATTGTTTTAACATTTTTGATGTTGAACTAGGATGTAATTCATCATCTTTTCAACGTCCCATATTGCTTTTTTATTGGTACTTTCTTTGCAGGTAGATTGGAACTGTGGGCGGTTGAACAGCCTGTGTCTTAAACATTGAAAATTGTTAAAGATGGAATTCATCATCTTTTCAACGTCCCATATTGCTTTTTTATTGGTACTTTCTTTGCAGGTAGATTGGAACTGTGGGCGGTTGAACAGCCTGTGTCTTAAACATTGAAAATTGTTAAAGATGGAAGCAGACTGTTAATAGTAGAATACTCTTCTGCATATCCTATCTTTAGTTTTATAAATAAAAAACTAAAATAACGTACTTATTAGAAATAGATCTGAACCCTAACCCTGTTCGTTTTTTCTTTTTCTTTACTTTGGTCTCTGGTAAAATGCAAGACCTATTATAGTAGGTTTTCATCCATGCTCTGTAGTCTAATATTTCTTTGAAAAAGATTTAACAAATTGTAAACTTGTCCAGTATTGTTGTGCTTGATTTAAAGTACTCTGAAACTTCAATTACAATGTATATGTGGTCATGTGCTCTCAGATGTTTTGATATGAGACAGGGAAGTACTGCGTAACTTTGTCGAATTATCCTTCATCCGTAAGAAAAAGGAAAAACCCTGACAATGACTGGTTTTTTTTTGGCCGCCACAATTATTACTAAACAGCCTAAGTTCTGTATAACAATAGAGAAAAAATTTTATTAAGTTCCATTTTTGTCACCCCATCATAATGTAAATAAAAACTGTTAGTATTTTATTTGATATTATATATGGCGAAAACATTTAATGGTGACTGCCGTAAGATCTTTTACTGGCATTTTTGAAAAGGATATTGTTTTCATGAAGTCAAATACTAAAGAAAAAACATAACTTTCATCTTTAGCAGCATCAGGTGTCTCGTTTTTTAAAGATAAATAGAACTTGTTGCTTCTTTTTTGTCAACTAAGAGTTAAGCTTCAGCAGCTCGTTTTGCAACAGGATTAAATGAGGGGATTTAATTGTATTGTTTAACATCGCACATGTGCAACACTCATATACATGTGGGCATCCAAATTTGTAGTTGAAATTTTCCTTGTAATAATTCCAGTATAAAGATTTGCTAACTTTAAACTTGAAGTGCACAGAACATTCTCCACATAAGCTTTATGTTGAGCCCTGCCGACAAATAGTTTTTTGCCACTATATTATAAACATTTTAGAGGAAATGATTTAAGATGTTCAGATACAGAATATTTTTTTTTTCATATATTTTTTACAACTACATAGCTTAAACAATACATACTTTTATTACAAATAGTTTTAAAAATATATATACTTTTATTACAAATACAGTCAAATTGCTTTGAAAATAACTGAAATAATACTAAGATATATTTGATGTACAAAGTAATAAAATAATGTAAAATAGTTTTTCAGTTTATATTTTGAAAAGACAAAAAAAGTCTTAAAAAAAGAAAAATTAAACCTTTAGTTATGTCAAGGGAAACTCGCAGAAAACTGTGTAAAGTCTTGTCATCGAGAACCCTTTTTTCAAACAATTTCATGAGATAAATATTTTATTCATTACTTATTACATTTTTCAATATAATTAGTCGTGTTTTTAGGAAGGAGCATAACATAAACTAGTATGTATATATGTATATTCATACTTTTTTTTTTTTTTTTTTTTTTTTTTGTACATGATTTTGATATTTTAATTACTCATAAGTTATTAGAAAATTTCCATTTAACTGCTTGAATTTAAGACAAGTTTTTTAAGATAAGATTTTAAGGAGTTTATATTTTTCAGGAGAGATATTGAGGAATTTTTTGGTATTAATTTGTTATACAAATAAGGACCACGATATGCTATTGAGAATTGAGACAGTTTTTCTTTTTTTAAGGGGTACTATATAGTTTCCAGTTGCTCTAGTGCTAAATTTGTTTATATTAGTTTTAAAAAAGTTATTTATAAATCGACTTGGAATAATTTCCATTTTATGTTTGAACATAAACAAAATATTTTGATATATATTAATTTGGTAAATGTTTAAAGCATTCCTCTGTTTTAGTAATGGGTTTGCGTGAGTAAGTTTGTTTTTATAAAAAATAATTCTTGAGGCGAGTTTCTGTCGTCTATAGAGTGAACTTAATTTAGTTTTATGGGTACTTGCCCATGCTTTATTGGCATATGATAGATATTTAAATTATGCAATCTAACTTAGATGAGACTTTAGGAAGGTCGTTGACATAAATTAAAAATAGAAGAGGAGCTAGAATAGATCCTTGAGGAACCCCACATTTGATTTTTAGTTGTTTCGTGTTGTTATAGTGATCTATGGTAACACATTGTTGTCTGTTGTCTAGGTAGTTGGCGAACCATTTTATAGTTTGATTTTTTATGCCATACTTTTCCATTTTTCTAAGTAGTATTGTGTGGTCTACTGTGTCAAACGCCTTTGTAAGATCAATAAAGACTCCTAATAAAAATTTTCTATCATTAAAGGAAGTTGTAATGTTATTAATGAGATCTAGGATAGCAAGTTCTGTTGAATGTTGCGTTTGAAACCCGTATTGATTTTCACTTAAGATTTTGTGTTCTATTAAATATTTATACAGTCTGTTGTAAATTATTCTTTCAAGGAGTTTAGAAAATATAGGATGAATTGAGATTGGTCTATAATTGCTAATTGCAGATGTATCTCCACCTTTAAATATAGGTACAATTTTTGCTATTTTTAATTTGTCTGGGACAATTCTGTTTTTGATTGAAGAGCTGAAGATATTAAAAATAGGCTTTTTTTTTTTTTTTTTTTTTTTTTTTAATGTTGATTAAGGTGCTCCAAGAAGTCCTTACGGTCTTATCACAGAACACCGCGGAAGAGCATTTAATAGGAAGTTCACGCCTCCTTCCCAACCGATGTCGCAAAACTTGCCCAGAGGTGAGGTTTGAACCACGGATCTTACGATTCTGAGGCAAGTGCGCTACCACTGCGCCACGGCTGCTATAGGTTTCTTATTACAGAAAAAATATAAGCACAACATTGCCAGAGATGTCATCAATACCTGGGGCCTTATTCTTTTTAATTGATTTGATTGCTGTTTCTAGTTCATCAAAAGTTAAATTACTATCTGGCAATGAGCTTTCATTTCAAAATAATTTTGAAACAATGTT